ATATTCACAGTTTTCCAAAATTCACATAAATGTTGCAATAGTTCGTTAAATATTCATATATGAATATTTCCGCAATTAATCAAACGAAATTTGCAATTTCAAATACTTCCATACACAAATTTGCAATTTCAAATGCTTCCATACACAAATTTGCATTTTCAAATACTTCCATACACCACCTTTAATTGGTAGCTCATAAAACCACACATTTAGAGGACATTTCTCAAATGTTTGCTCATGATAATAATATTGCATCTTATCTCATCGTAATCCTCACTCTCGTCATTAGTGAACAAACATATGTGATGAGTTCGTAGTGCGATAACGATATGATATGATGACCATACGCTATAGTCATCTCTTTCTTTCATCTCTTGTGAACGCAATAACTTTCTCAGCAAAACGTTTTTCGATGGTACGTTAAACAAAACTTCCTCAATCATTCCACGCTTCTCATTATCATTGCTCATCAGTTTCTAAATTTATCCACTAAAGAAAACAAAGCTCCGCAATAACTTCAAATGTCGAATTAACTAGTAAAAGTGTGAGATAAACACCTGAATGCAAATGTTTGAGAATTTTTGAAAAATGAAAAACTTGTTTTGAAAATTACTATCGCTGATTGCTCAAAATTTATTATTAGTGGTTGATTTTTCAAAAATATTTCACTTCTGTTTAAGATTGTTGAGAGGCGTTATCATTCAGTCATCATCAATGAGTAATGAGTGCANACGTGTCAACGAAAAGCACTCTCAATGATGGCTCGATTTTGCATGTTTGAATTGATGTTCTTAAGACGTGTCAAGCCGAGGACGGTGCCTATCTCCTTTAGGGTGACTCCACTTTCATTGTTTCTGACGGCAGCTGCAAATGGTTGTTTGAAAATTAGAGATATATACAGAAAAAGCTGCCGTCACTATCACTTGAAGTCACTTGCTATCTAGAAACTCCAACGGCTACAACGGCTAGTAAGCTGTTCGCGAATTGCAACAAAATTCTTCTCTGATAGATGTATAATAATATTCCGTACAGTTCAGCATTGATTCTTATGCAATTGATGAAACAAACTTTACCATAATTCACTTAAAATCAATGTGAAAGTTAACAGACTGGTTTGATTAAGGTTTTTGATGTGAGAGTTACTGATTTGAACGAACATCGATACTAATTAAATTTCAGATGGATAGTATAACAACCTTAGTACGCGAGCCGTTCACCATAAAACCGGCTTTATTCGCTGAGAATCGAAAACGTTTGGTGGATGAGCTGAGGAAGAAGTTGGGTGGTACAAAAGGAAATGTTGTCGTTTTAGAAGGTGGTACTGAACAGAACCGTTACAATACTGATGCAATGGATTTACCGTTTCGACAGGCTCGGATTTATTTCTTAATGGGGTTTATTGATGAAGGAATGAAGTTTGATATTCTTTAGCAACCGGAAGGTATGTGCTTGTGATGAGATGTAACTGCTGACTGAGAGGTTATACAGAAATCGAGGTTATCTGTTAAACGGAAAAATCACTTTATTGATTTATTTGCTCTAGTGAAATGTATCCGTAAGCTGAAGTTGATATCGCAAGTTATATTCATGATGAATCTTTGAGCTAGCACATCTGAATTAATTCTGGCTGGTATATTGCGAATTTGGAAAGTTATTCAAAAATGTTCCTCTTCTATTTTTCAGGAATCATATTTCTTTTGGACGTTCGGAGCTCACGAGAGTGAGTCTTTCGGTGCAATTGATGTAGATTCCGGGAAATCGATCTTATTCCCGCCTAAGTTGCATCCGGATTATGCAATTTGGGATGGAAAGTAAGCAGTTATCGACATACACTAGAAAATCGAATCTTTCATTGATTGAACATCTTTCCGGTTTAGTAAAACAGAAAGCGTCACGAATGACATCAAGTTGTTTGTGATAAACCTTGGGCAATAAAAATTTGCGAGCAGGAAATAGTAAATAGTTTTATAAAGGTGTTGAATCGAAGTGTTATCAGTTCTTATCACTTCAACGACACATGAACTGTTCACATGCTTGACTGCATTCCATTCTTTTGCGAATGCTCATCACATCAATCGACTCTGGCAGTTTTCGGTTAATATTCAAAAAAATCAACCAGTTGTTGAAGTTCTCAACATTGATGGTAAAATGTTTGTAGAATTGAACCAGAAAGTTGGTTCAAAAAAACCTACGAAGTGGATGAGGTGCACTTCAACGATGAGAACACAATCAGTGAAATGCTAAAGAATCTGGGCGCAAAGCAGTTACTTTTACTGGTTCGTACTCAGAAATTCATTGCAGTTTAGAGAAGATTCGTTGATATATCATAGCATTTACAATAACTGCAATTGAATTTAGCTATATGATTAGGTGCCGTTAAATTACTACGGTGTAAAATTTTTGCTCACGAATCCAATCATTATAGCGCCTAAGAAGCATGAAAGGGAACAATATCAAAAATATGTGATTACGTGTAATTCATTGAGATGATCACAGTAGTGGATTAACAGTCTCAGCAAACATAACTTTCAGAAGGCTGAAAATACGGACAGTGGTAATACGTTGGAACCAGCCAATTTTAAAGGAAGAAATGAGTAAGGTTTTCTTCGAAGTTCAGTGATTGATCATATCATCAAGATTCTATTAACATTTTATTGGAACATCCCATTGTCAATGACGAAATTATATAATCCCGTGACGTGTTAAATGTTCAGTTCGTCTGTAATCAGTTATATCGCAAAAAAAGTGAACTATTTATAGTTTCGCTTGTAATACAGAGTTGCTCTATCCAATCATGGCTAATTTACGAGTGTTCAAAACCGATAAAGAACTTGAAGTTATGCGATATTCGTGTAAGGTTGGTCCACTTTTCGTTGTTTCACATCTTCACTGAACATAAGTCAACGGTTGAAGACTATGTTCAGTTAAATGGTCGGGCTTATGCTGATTTCAAGTTCAGCTAGTTTTGGGTTTGTTGAATCCGAATAATTTTTGCACTGAACTGAATATCACGCTTTGATAGGTAGCATCGGAAGCGCATAAGGCAGTGATGAAACATGCTAAACCAGGACAATACGAATACCAACTTGAAAGGTTGTTTGAATCGCTGTTTCTCTCGATCAGATCTTCCATTCGAATATATTTGATATTCCAGTTGTTTATCGGAAACTTGAAACAATTAATTGAAAAGAATGCATTTATCGCTCATTGCATATGTTATTACATTAAGAACATTATATTCTCATTGTAAATTTGAATTCATTCATATTTCCCTTATCCTTTATACGATTGCAATACAATACCGTTATGTTCATAAATAACAGCTATTTTCAGTGTATTTCGACATGTTAGTTACTACTGCGGCAGTTGTCGACATTTAGCGTATACCTGTATCGCAGCTAGGTAATGATCCTTATTATTCTTTTGAGGGAAAGCGTGTGATTCGCATTACGTGAACTTTTGAGGAAAAACATTATTCAGTGAAATGATTTATGACAGATATCAATGAGTTCATGACACTGAAAATTTTAGTGGAATGAATGGAGCCGTACTGCATTATGGACATGCAAATGCACCAAACCGCAAGAAAATCCTCGACGGTGATTTGTGTCTATTCGATATGGGACCGGAATGTGAATGTTACGGTACGATGAAGTCATCTTCTCGTTTTCTATTCATCAGTTATATAATGAATTATTCTAACACTTTAATCGGCCTCGTTGAAAATGAAGTCTTACTTATATGAGGTTTTAGATTTTGATGAGTGATTGTTTCCATGTGTTTGGTAATTTTTCACCCGTTTCAGCATCTGATGTAACAGTAACTTTTCCGGTTAACGGAAAGTTCACCGAAAACCAAAAATTGATCTACAATGCTGTTCTGCGAGCAAATCGAGAAGTGTTCAAAGCAGCAAAGCCCGGTTAATAGCTTTCTCAAGTGTTGCCTTGGATCGTTATACGCTCGTGAAGAAATGAATTCATTACAATTATCTGTCTTCAGAACTTCATTATTCTATATTCAGAAATCTGCTATCATATTCATATGATGAATTCATCATGATAATCCAGTTCGGATATATCCACTTCAGTCCGATGGATCAGAATAAAACGGGAAATGACCCACTTCAAATCTTTTCCATTACTATGATAGCTCCTATAGAAACGGTTAAATATTTCCAGGAGTGCGATGGGCTGATATGCATTTGCTGGCTGAACGAGTCATGTTAACTGATCTGAAAGCAGGAGGTCTTCTGAAGGGGGACGTAGATGAAATGCTATCGGCACGTCTTGGTGCTGTGTTCATGCCACACGGTTTGGGACATTTACTCGGACTGGATGTGCACGATTGTGGAGGTTATCTCGGGGTTAGTCCCATTTCTGGATTAGTTAGTACTCATTTGAATATTGAAATTCAACTGATATCCTCTCATTATTTCATATCGATGCGTGACATTTGAAAGGTTTAGAACTTTGAACAGTTGAGATTTTAATTCTGCAAATGCATTCAGTCTGTTTTTCGTATTCAAAGATTCGTCTTTTGTATTCGATATTGGTGATTTGTATGGAATTCAGGATGCAACGCCACGTTCAAAAGAGCCAGGATTGAAGTCACTTCGGCTGACACGTACACTTCAAGAACGAATGGTGGTTACGATTGAGCCTGGCTGCTATTTCATCGATACGGTTCATCATTGATTGTTGCTCTTATTCCTTCTCACCTTCTTACTGGAACGAAAGATTGATTCTGAAAAAAGCATTTTTGAAACTAACATTTCTGAGTCTGTCAAATATTGTTTGAGGTTGTGAAACTAACAAAATGTTATTTCACGATTTCACGGTCACAANCAACAATGAATAATCTTTTCTATGAAAGTTGAAATTCACAAATGAAAATATCTCAGCAATTGGAAAAGGCGCTAGCTGATCCGGCAATGAAGAAATACATCAACGAAGATAGACTGAATGAATTCAAAGGATTTGGAGGGGTTCGTTACAATTTTACTATTTCAATTATAGCTTTTGCTTCAATCTATACGAGTGTTTATCGTGGTATAGTCATCATTTCTCTAGTTAATCGAGGAATTTAATCATTCTTTTTTTTCAGGTTCGTATCGAAGATGATATAGTGATTTGGGCGAGCGGTAACGAAATGCTGAACGATGTGCCGAGAACAATTGAAGAAATTGAAGCTTTTATGAGAAAGTGATGAACATCTACTCACATATCACTTATTCTATGTATTAGTATTTGTTCCTGCATAATTGAATTTTGCAATTATAATCGTATATTTGAACTGAATCGAAAAACATGCAGTTCACTTCCATAAGAACTGATCTATTTCAACGGAACTCTCTCAATGTTTGTTGATTATGAATGTACTTTCAATTCAGTCGTCTCGTAATTTCATTGTTGACATTCCGTGAGTATTAAGTTTCAGTGATTAATTACGTTCATTTTGAACATTCGAGCTGAAAGATGTTCATTTTCGAACATTTGAACACCGTTATTATGACATGATGTTCTCATAACAAAATGTGATCATTGAATATCACTCAAAAGTGTCCTGTTCACATTTCTATTTTTATCACTGATAACACAAACAAGCAGCGACATTATGTGTGGTGATAATGCAGCATTTTTGTTGATGTTGTCTAAAGATAATCTTTTTATGTGTGATGTGCTCGGAAATTTGATAAGATACGAATATTTCCATCACACAGCCCTATCAGTATCATCACTGAGACGGTGTCAATAGCTAGATGAGTTTCACGAAAATTTTGATATCTGTTGAGAATTGATGAAAATCTTGAACTTCTTGATGAAATCTTGACGAAAGTCTTCATATATATGATATTCACCATAGTGCACGTATCGTTCACATCGTTTTATATTCGGAACCTATCCAAACTACCTTTGGCTGAGACAAGCCAAGGTTCATATTGATAATCAGCAAACGGAAGGGTAATCCCCGCAATGGAGACTCGATTACCCGATTTTATACTTATGATACAGTTACAAGGCGGACGGTTCAGAAAGCTACGTTTATTGAATTTGAATAAGTGCGATTGATATTCAGAAAAAAATCTGTTAATTGTAAGGAGTACGATTTTACAAGAAAAAAGCATAAAATTAAATGTAGAAAAAATTACACAAGCAAAGAAATATGAAAACGTTGAGAAGATAACTATGGAAATGACAAGCGATGAACGGTAGATGGGACATTTAGAATGTAATTGTATGCACAATTACACGCAATGAATTTATCAGCAGACAAATTTTATGAGGAAACAACGAAATCAGAAGATCGGTGGCGGAATCAAGGTATAATATTGTTGACATCCTCAAACGTCTGGAAGAAACTCGACAGAAATCTAAACAAATGCTTCCGTTTCACAAAACAACTTCTCACTGTCCAAGTTATTTCCCGAAGCTATTTCACGAAATCTTTTTCGGAAACAGCAACTCAATTCAAGTTCAATGAAAGAAATGAAAATGAAATAAAAACGAGAAAGAAACCAACGAAACGAGTTAAAACAGATTAACACGCGACCATACGATTAAAAGACACTCATCGAAGGCAAATGAATTCGAAAAAATGGCAAAAACAAGAAAATTCTCCAATGAAATTACAAGATAAAGAAAAAATAACAGACGCAATCAAAATACTATCTGTCAAGATCATTGAATTCCTCCATCATTAAAATATTTCAGTGATATTCAGATTAGCTAAACACCCACTCATTGCTCATTCACTAATGCATTTTTTGCTGAGAAAACAGGATAAAAGAAGAAAATCGCACGCGAAAAACATTTCATTCGAATGCAGCAAAAATGAATTCCAATCATTGACGAACAACGAACACATAAAACATTTCATACAAATGAAAATGGAAAGTCCGTATATCATGAAAAAACAATTGAATGTACGACTCCAGCAATTTGAATGTGCAAAAAAAGGAAACGACGGTGAAAGGCAGCATTCCACGATGAAAAGGCACAATCACCAAGTGAACGATCACCATTAAGTTGAAAATAGTGAAAAAAACCTTCTCAAAAAAGTGAAAATAAAGTGAAAATGAATGAAAAAGAAAAACAAGTCAACGAATGAAATGTTATGAGGTCATGAGAGTAGTCCATACGTCTCGATTCTAAACAGTGGAATGAAACTTTAAGAAAAAAAGAATGGATACACGAAAAAACGAGTCAACTGAAAATAAAAATCGTGATGGAATAAAAAATAAAACTGCATAATATTTACACGGATTGTAACATTTAGTAGTAAAGGAATTGCAGTAAATTATTATGCGTAATCGCGCATGCACTTCATCAAAAACAAACGGAACTATCGCTATCTTAAGTCAAATATCAGTTTCAACCAATTTCGATAAATTTCTCCCCATATATCAAAAAATTCTTTGATTTTCATTCAAAACGGTTGAATTCTTGATCTCAAATGACAGACTGAAATCTCAAATCGACTGATTTAACAATGCTCACTGAATGCAAATAATTCGATGCGTTTGACCTAGTTGTTAGACATCATTCTAATCGACCGCACATAACAAGCCTTACTGATATTTCTACGACAACTAAATTTGCATACCACAATAACAGCACTTCCCCAACACACGATTAAATTGAAACAAATCCCAAATTGAAATAAAACGGTGACAACGCATAAAATAGAACATAACATCAATACTGCGGATAATATCTAATCATCAATTGAAGTCAGTATACTTCAACAAATCTTAAACAATCGCTAATACCCCAATTTCCTTTCTTCCAACTAAAAAATGAAACAAGCGAGAATAAATTTGAAGAGAGTAGATTGAACACATTACTACTTCTTACAGAAACCCTCCTAAAATTGTAACTGCAGATTCAGTAACTGTAGATTTCACTTCATCAGCGTCATAAACACGCTATGAACAAATAGAAGTAATCCAGATTTACCTACTCTACTTATGAAAAAGGGTATAATACCTATAAATATTAAAGCTTGTCCTAAGAAAATACTTGTTACAATATCATCAACACTGAAAAATTGAGAAATAACCAGTATTAATAGAGAAATAACCAGTTTAGAAGTTTAAGATCAATTCCTAAATTTAAGGTTTCCCAGTTCAAATCTACAGACGTTCAATCCTTTTGCCTTATCGCTATACATACATTGCCCTCAACAAAAATCTCGCTTACTTCGATCGCAGTACTACCTACTGACAACATACAACAAGCACAACAATATCATGAATTACAGTAAAATTATATGAGACAAAACAAGTCGGACAATATCGAATACAATAATAATAATAATAACAATCATAAAAATAAACATAAACGCATTCAAACACATTGCTAACAAACTGCGAAATTGTGCTAAAAATAACCAAAAAAATGACAAAAATCATTCAATAAAAATATAACCGTCAAACGAACAATAAAACCACATCATCATTCGCAATTACGAATACCTTTCAAAAACTAAATCAAAATAATGCACAACAGTTAATCAGTCATCAGCAGTAACGTAATTCGGATGCACAACAAGCACTGGATCCTTATCAGTATCTGCATTCAGCTGTATCAGAATGCCATCTTCACTGATAAGCCGTTTGATGACACGTTCAATTATCGCCTGTTGCATCAGCAGTTCTTCTTCTGTTTCCACACTCTCCTCCAACATCTCCAAATACCTGAAAAACAGATACTACTATAAAACCGAGGAACATTCATGATACCAATAAAACAATTATCACCTCATATTCTACTTTGAAACTCAACCAAAAACCTCATTATTCGGTCAATCTCAAAGATATTTACGATCGAGCAATCATCCAAATCGATATAATACTAACCACTGAACGAGTTCTGAGTGTCTAACACCCTCATAGTCGGCGCTTTCTGCTTTGTCATCTTCCAAACGTCTGATGTGACAGACCAACATTTCCGAAATATTTTTGTATTCTTCGAATCTGCAAAACAAATTTTCATTTTTACAATTAGTCGATAGCTCATCGAAGATACAATTGTTTTACTGATCTCCACATCTTGATAATCGCAACCGTTAACTATCCGCTCATCGAATCTGCAATCCGAACAATTGGATTTGGAATTTCCACCAACTCCTTTGAGACTGTTACACAAAACACTATTTTCAACACGCTAAAGCTTCAATCCAACGCAAAACTTTACACCAACAAATACACCACTCACTTGATTTTCAATTTACTAGTGTCTATTTTCGGCTTCGGTGACTCTCCAGCTTGTTCTTGTGTCGCCGGTTGATTTCGCTCTTTCAACACACCACCAGTTTCCTCTTGTTCAGGTTGTCCCAACCCGTCAGCAGCTTCCATCTGAAGCAACCAAACTCCATCAAATTAACCAATGAACATGCGAACCTATCAGATTCGTGTGAATTTCATTTCAGTGGCCCAATCTATCCAAATGAACATGCAAAACGATCCTCTGCTTTGCAGAACCGATGGAATATTTCGGTGTTTGCCTAACAACACTTTCTTAATCACACATTTAGCCACGTATTCACTTGAAACATTCAGAATTTTCTAAAATAAAGATGTTCACAACAAACGTTTATAGCCTTACATGCCCAATACTAAACAAAAAGAAATAAACTAAAACAAACCTCGACATCCCCAAAGATTGCATCGTCCTCATCTTGCAATGCGATATCCGGTTGCTCAACACGAACAATCGACTTACTCAACAGTTTCGATGCTTGAGTTACGTGCTCGGTTGTAACCTTAATCAATTATTCATTTGTTTCATGAAACCAAATAATTTGCCATCGATGCAATTTTTCTCCTATACTCTGCGAGTGTTTTCTCATAATAAAACCATTTTTGACCGACAACTGACCAAATGTCAACATATTCCACAACTACTCAACGATAAATAATGCAACTAACTTCACTTTCACAATGCACACGTGCGATTGCTTCTGAGAGACGAATCAACGACTCAAGCTGTCTTACAGTTATCCGCCACGATGACGTTGTTGAATTGTTGCTGTCACCCAATCGCAATCGTTTATATTCACTCACCAATAATTTCGCTGCACCCTCGCTGATCTGAACCATTCAAAATATCAATTCACATTTTTTCATAATCGCAAATAATGTGATTCGTATGATGAAGACAAGGAACTATCATCGAATGATCATCAGTCATATTGCTATAAAATAAGACAGACACTGGGTACAAACCTGCGGTTTGAAGCAACGTGCAAATGCGATATATTTTCGGATATCTTCGGGCGAATAGACCGTCTCCGGTTGTGTGTGTTCCACATATGAACGATGCGTATCGAGAATACGACGTGCTATCGCATAATCAATTATCTTAAAAGCGTTATCATTGATGAGTGGATCGGCTCATTTGCAAAAAAATTCCAGTCAATTCTGATTATTTATACTGCCATTAAGGAACATAATAAATCGCCGAAATAAAGCGATTTCTTAACATCAACTCAGTAGAAACGTCAAATATTTCGATACAATCATGAAATTAAATGATCGCATTCATTACATGCAAAACTTCATCAACGCACAACCAGTTAAAATAAGACTCTAACAAAAATACCTCATTACATTCATCGACAAGCACGAAGAATAAATCGAATCGTGACATGATTGGTGCAGAAAGTTGGATGTTTTGTTTCAGAGGTCTGGTTCGATCATATCGACCACCTACTGGATTTGCAGCCGCCAATATGGATGCTCGGGCATTCAGTGTGGCTTTTATGCCGGCTGAAATTTGGAACTAATTTTCATCTCAAATGTGCATGAAGAAAAACCGATCAAATCATTCGGTTACTCTCTCAGTTATGGTTATTATTATCCACCCTTTCCTAAACCACCAAAATATTGCCTAGGAATAAGCAGTGAATTTATGAAAATACCTTTCGTAATAGAGATAGTTTGCTGTTCCATAGCTTCATGAATGGCGACCTGATCCTTTGGGTCCATCTTATCGAATTCGTCAATACAACAAACACCCTGAAAATAATTTCGAAGAAATTTTTGAAGAACTATAAAAAAATCTCAAGCGATATTACATTCAACCTCAACATAACGAAGCCAATTCAACCATCAAATAATGAAAACGAACATTGTCAGCGAGCATCAATGCACCAGCTTCAATCACAAAATCGAACGATTCCTCGTCTTTCACCACTGCGGCCGTCAAGCCGGCTGCCGATGAGGCTTTACCAGATGTGTACACTGCACGCGATGAGAACTGCTCGACAGTTTTCAGAATCTGACTTTTCGCCGTACTTGGATCCCCGACAAGACAAACGTTAATGTCACCACGAAGAGTTGTACCCTCGCTTGAGCTTTTCTTCGCAACACCACCAAACAACATCAACAAAACACCCAGCTTCACCTGAACACAATAACCATGTCTGTATTTATCCATAGCTTACAATCGATAACATTCACAAATTATCATCGCGAAAATTGTTAGCTAAGAATTAACACATAGCCAAAATTAGAACACTATCGAGATTGAAACAAACAGAGGTGCTCCCAGTCTAAAAATGGTAATAATACATTTCTGCAGGTTACACGACAGAACTTCAGAAGATTTTCATTTCGTTATACAACGGATAAAACGGTCGCGAACTGAAAGCAGACTACTATGAGAAAATCACACACAGCCAAATGACGATTTTTAAAAGAATATGAAGCTACCGTTGGAGTCATAGGAATACCTATCTGAGAAAATTAAATACAAGCAATAGATAACCTCATCACTGCCATAAACATTCGGAAAAAGACTTGATGCGAGATTCTGTGCAATCGCCTTATCATTCGACATCGCACGAAGTGTGTGCTGCTCTTGCTTCGTTAAAGTATTCCAAAGAGCCGCATGGTCTACATCGTCACGACCGAAGTCTTTCGATCCAAACTGAAAATTGATAGTTTAAAATAAAATCTCTTGCATGCTAAAATTCTCAACGAATGACACTTCCCATTTTGGGAAGAAAAATCGATCATTAAAATAAGCTCATAACTACACGCCAATCAATAAATTTAAATTGACTTGAAGCGACGATACAGAAAACATACAGCTGGATTGGATGCTGTGATGCCAGAGGCAAGGAATGCCAATCTATAGTTTAAATCTCGTACACCCAACGCCTTGAGGCCAGTCAGACCTTCGGGTTCCACACCTCTCTCACGACCTCGATTACGATTCCGTACTTCCGCTCGCAAACCTATTTTAACAAACAAGTGATTCTTTTCACGCAAAATACTTTTTGCTGCGACGTTAATTCAAAAACACTTCATCAATAAGAACTGATAAATGAATAGATCATGAGTATAGCTGATACCATATTTATCCGAATGTAATCATGATATATACAATCGCAATAAATCATAAACAAAACGATACCAGGTGCACTGAGTTTTGCAACATCCGGAATCACGATCAGTGTACCAGTGATATCACAGCGATCTCCTGGCTGCGCACTCTCAACTAGTTCACCACGTATGATCACGTCCACACTTCTCGGTATACTACCACGAGGTAACTCAGCTTGTGTTTCTTGAATTCGCATTTTCTGGAAAAAAACGAATTGAACAGAAAATTTCGGAAATATTCATTCAAAATAAATACAATAAAAAATATACAATAAAACGCTCGAACACGAATTCTCACCTGAAAATCGACGAAAGTTGACTCTTCAATATTCAATTTCCAACGCGTTCGATTCACACACGTCGGATTAGTACACTGCGCCGGCTGCAATTTGAAGTGGATATGGCTTTTATATGATGAGCAATATCAAAAAGATTTATCATTATTAATGCTCATTATCACAATTTACCATCGCATCAACAAAAAATGGATCAAACGGAGATATGAAGATCGAACCGGCGAATATCTGAATTGCTGCTCAACATTTTTGATCAACATCTCACAGTCATCACATACGAACGCTCCTTTTGAAAGCTCGGGATGAACAGGATGTGTGCGGACCACTTGACCCGATATACACACCAAAGAACCAACTCTGTCGGTGGTTAGTTCACGAACTCTGCAATCGTCAAGTAATGCTATGCGACACTTGATTTATGCTTCACGCAAATTTCACAGGAACGAATTCAAATTACAAATAAATTGCGGACATAGGGATAATTAAATTGGCTACCATCTTTTTCGCAGATGTGAAGCCAGTCGAAATGTTTTAATAATTCAACTTTCGTCAGGAACAATTGGATGGAAAAAATTTTGAATCGTTTTGATCAATAACGAGCACAAATCAGTAGATGATTAAGACAGAAAATGTCTGAACGAACCTCAACTTATGACCAAGATTATTGAAGCTAACATGTACTTCTTTCTTCATTAGTCGCATTTTCTCAGCATCATCGTCACATGCGCCCATGGCCACTGATTTTACGGCACGACACAAATAAGGATACAATCTAAACGACGTAATGTTAGAAATTCACCTCATTTGAAATTCGTTCATTCGTCACAAAGAAACATTTTTTACAATAACTTTCTATTTTTTTACAATAACTTTTCGAAATTTACAATAACTTTCTAACGAATATTTCGAAACGCACCGATAGAATTGCAATTCAATGGCACAAGCTAGCGTAGAGCTGTGACTGAACAAATCTGCATAATCGATTCGCATCGTATTTCGTTCAGAATTACGCAATTCATAGACGGCCTCCTTGTAACGACTTTCACCATTCTCAGTTTTAAACCTGAAATTTGTAGGTGAACTTAAACTGAACTTAAACCGAATTTATGAACTTAAATTCAGCACATACGCAAAATGGATGTCAGGATTCGCTTTAATTCCGCCACTTCTTTACGCACAAGTTCAAAACGAATTTATTCAAAAATTTCATTTGTTACTTCAAAAATGCAATTGAAAAATTAAAAGTTAGTGGTGGTGATTAATTGATATGATAATCCGAAACAATCCTCCAACTCGAACAATATGAAATATTCTGAGGAAGTCACTACAAATTGGTTACATTGAACGGCAGAAATAATCTTAAAAATTTTTTTGAGTTAAGGAATGTGAACTGAAAAAAATGAAAAAGTTACTCCTCGATGAATGCGACGAATTCTTCTTGAACTCGAAGCCCTTCGATATCCTCGACCTTCGTTATACCTGGTGGTATTGCCGCCATGATGTCGGATTATTTCCTCACCAACAGTTATTACCTGAAAACCAGACTTAATCACCATCCAATTCTTTAAAACTTATCTCAGCCAATTTAACCAGAATTATTGTCCGTACAATTTTAAGAAGCCATGAAAATGATATTTCTGAAGCCATGAAAAATACTATTGCATGAGATTATACACTTGAGATAATCGAAAGTGATCTAGTAAAAGATTCAAGAGTTCAAAAATTGTACGAGAAAAAATTTTAGCGCTCTGATCAGAGAGAATGAAGAAAACGCGCACAGAGCGGTAACGAAGAGAGCAAATCGATTCGCAATGATTTCGCGCGTAAACTTTTAAAACTAGTTGATCAAATCAACTCTCCACACGATAGCGAATGTGTTTAAGAGCACCACATACCCAACATCGAAAAGGAATAGCATCACGTACAAAGGTTTTGCGCCACTTGACAATTGTATTTCCTCGAGTGAATGGATGACGTGAAATTGACACGGTCAATCATTTCAATTGCACAATAATACACACCAATTCATAAAGAGTTTTCCATACTCAGCAAATGAATGAACCGACTCAAGCAGTTCCACGAAACCAAGAAACGCTTATACACGGATATAGATATATTTGAACAAAGCGAAATTCCGCATTAAAATTGAATCGGGAACTGAATGAATCTGTCGCTAATAAAAGAAACACTCCTCACGGGCAAACGATAGCCTATGAATTCTTGGTTATTTTGCTGATCCCATACGGATATCTGATGTAACAGAGGCAAATAGTGGAAGAGTTTAAGTCAGGTTGAAATTGTTCAACGTGACCCCACCACTACACCGACCCACCACGTTAACAACAGATGTGTCCCAGACAGCATTAATTCCAAAAGCACCACCGAAACGGTCATTCTGCGATCCATGCGGCAAGAAATGCAAACCTACCGATTAGAAAATCTGCATGTATCACAATCTTAGAAATCCTTACAGATGTAACGACACCAAGAAATTACTGTGGTGTTGTTCAAATTCGCACCTATCAATGCGGAGTACCTAAAACACCCTTCTCAATGACTCCAGGTCATCCATCATCCCAGAACACCAACAGAGCAGCACTAGTTGATCAGGCGTCTCACAAAACTGCACCACACGGGGCATTCATGCGAACCTGACCGAAAAAACTACATTACCCTACACCTCGTTCCGACACAAAACAGACTGCTTTCTCGCAGGAAGATTGATTCTTGAGTCTGGCGCCTTAGACCA